TCTCCAAAGTTCATCCACGTTTTCTTGGTTATGATGAAACTCTTAAGTCTGTGGAAGAGTCACTTACCAAGCTTAAGGTAATTAAGTGTCAGCTCTCAGCTCTTTTACTTTTCAGCCTGAAATTTTCTGGAGTAGAAAAAAAAATAATGTCTAAGCCATGTGAGATCAATCAAAAGAAAAACATGGATGAATATTCTTCAGTTTCCATATTCTCCACACTCTTCTCTATACTTTTCCTTTGGTATTGGAAAGGAGAATTTGTTTAACAATCAAGAGCTTCTCTGGTTGGTGATCATTTCCCCTATACTCATGCCCTTATTGTTTGATTGTGGGATGATATTGTGGGGAGAAATTAGATGCTCGTCACTCTTAGGAGTTAAAGGGTTCATAGAAAAGGGTATTATTATGTATACAAACTTTCTTGCCACAGGCTTGTTGCAGTATGGCCTCAGTCAGTAAGTTGTTTGTTTGTACATATTTCTGCAGGTTGATTACATTGATCTCATGTTGATTCACTCAATGGACTGTGACGAGGGACCTGGTGCCCACTTGATTTGTCAACAAGGGGAGCCTAAGGGAACATGGGAAGACTCTTGGAAAGCGCTGGAATCACTTTTAAACAAAGGCAAGTTGGTTTATTTTCTATCACATCATGTAACGGTATGATCTATTTTTTATCGCTAGTAGAATGAACGTAAAGAATCTTAACTCCTTTCAATACAATTGTGAGCCTATAGAATTCAAACTAAAGGAAGTCGTCTGTGTTTCTTTGCAGGGAAAATCCGAAGTATTGGTGTCAGTAACTTCGAAGTTGACAACTTAAAGCGTTTACTTGAGATCTCAAAAGTTCAGCCATCAGTTGTACAGAATTCCTTTGATCCCTTCAACCAAGATCGCGTAACCCGAGAATTCTGTGAGAAAAATGGAATTCGATACATGGGTCATAGGTAATGAAGAATCAAAATCATGTACTGTGGCTTAACAAGAAGTGTAGCTTACTTTGTGAGCGTTAAATCGCAAGATCGTTGTTGTGTCACCCCCCCCCTCCCACCCCCCCAAAAAAAGGGTTGTGAAGGAGACTACCGTAAATGAGAAGAGAAGGAAATATTACTTACAGCCACACTCACTCAAAACAAACCGCAAACAATCAAGCAAACAAAGTAATATTTGTTAATGCTAGCTATGCAGGCCACATGGACTATATGTAATTAATTTTTACTCTCTACTCTTAGCTGGCAGAGATTTTGGGGTTATCCTAACTCTCAAACAGTCAGTTACGTGAGATTTTGTAAGTAGCTTTTGTTTTATCTTCAATCACAGCACGTTAGGTGATTCGTGGAAAAGAGAGGGCCTGCCTGTAAATCCAGTTCTATCTGACCAAGGTCTTCGGAAAATCGCCACTAAGTTCGATGCTTCCATTCCTCAGTTGGTTCTTAAGTGGTCTTTAGAGAAAGATGTTATTGTGATTCCCCGCTCGCGGAACCCGAACCATATTAAAACAAACCTTCAGTTTACTCACGTAATGCTCAACGAAGACGACCGAGAGTATCTCGAGAGTCTTGATGGTAAGATAATCGTGCCCGACGATGGTCCTCCCTTCGATTCCCGATCAAAGCCGAGTGTTTCCGATCAAGAGACGACGGAAGAGGAAAAGACCGCAGACGAAAGCGCTCGGAACGAAAGTGAAGACATCAGTGAGAAATTGGTTTTATTGGGAGAGGTTGATGCAAAAGATTCCACGCTGTATTTAAGTTCTGATGATCATTGGATTTACGCGTTCGACTCTGCCTCAGGCGAGGTGAAATGGAAATACGGAACTGCTGATGAAGGTGGATCAAAATGCGAGTTCAACTCTGATGGAACTGTCGTGTACTGCGGAACCGACGACAAATCACTTCGGGCGCTCAGCGCTGTCAACGGTAACCTTATTTGGAAGTTTTCGACAGAAGGGGCGGTTACTTCCTCGACCCGAGTTGGCGTAGACGGCAGTCTCTATTTCGGGTGTCTAGATGGCTATTTTTATGCCCTTAATCCAGACGGCTCCCTCAAATGGAAGACGGATTTAGCGGCCGAAATCTGGTCTTCGCCTGCTCTTCTAGAAGGCGGCAAAGCTGTGTTCATCGGCTCCATGGCTGAAGACTGGGCAAACGTGTTCGCTCTTGACGGTGAAACTGGCGAAATCATTTGGAAGTATAAAACAGCTGAACCCGTTTTCTCCTCTCCTTCCGTTAACCATGATAACAAGACCGTATTTTTCTGTTCGTATGATGCAAACTGTTACGCGTTTAATACTGAGAATGGTCACGTGCTCTGGGTGTTTGAGGCCGACTCGGCGTTTCAGTCGTCACCTGTTGTCAGTAAACTGGACGGGACTCTCTTTGTTGGATCCACGGAGGGAAACATTTATGCACTGGATTCCGCTACTGGAAAACTCAAGTGGATTAGGGAAGGTTTGTTATCAATATTCTATTTTTCTCAAGTAGGGATTCAGAACATTTCGAATTTTCCAGTCTAATGGTTTGAAACAGCTGTGAAGTTATACTTGTTAAGCGGTTACATTTTCTTTGGCGTGTGCCAAGCCTCGGAACAAATGAGTGAGTAAGAGAACATTGGTGTTTGTTTAGGAGGAGTGTCAAAGAAGAGTTACCTCTCTCTTCCAAGTTCATTTCCTTTAATTCTACGTTAAGTTTATACTTAAACTGAAGATCATCTACATGTGATGCATTTTCTTTTCCAGGTTCAAAGAAGGTTGTGAATGTAAAATACTTGCATTGTCGTGGCATTTTTACTTTCAGAATTTGACTTCAAAGTCTAGTCACGATGTCGTGACAAAGGCGTAACTTCTGTTTTATACTCTATTGCTGTGTTGGAAAATTTTATTCAAGATAAGAAAGAGGGCGTCTTTGCTACCATACACGAAAGGGATTCGCGACATGATATAAATGAAATGAATATGGAAGTGATCTTCGCAGTAAGGAACACTACTTAAGCAGTGGTGAAAACATCACTACTGCTTAAGTAGTATTCATTACTGCGAAGATCACTTCTACATTCATTTCTTTATCCGCAGGTCACATATATGATTTTCATATATTTACAGTCACTTTCAAAATAAATGCATTTTCATTCATCGACATATTTATTTGTTTATTGATTGAATCAGGAAAGGGTGAGCTATTCTCTTCGCCGTTTGTCGCTCCAAATGGAAATGTCTACATCGGTTCAGGTGAAGGTGAGATTTTAGCTCTTCGTCAGACTGATGGCTCACTCGTGTGGAGTTTAAAAACGGACTCCGCCATATGGTCGTCACCGCGCCTGGATAAGAATGGACTGTTGTTCATAGGAGGAATAGATACTTATTTGTATGCCCTGAGAGCTGATGACGGACAATTGGTGTGGAAATACAAGACAGATGGACCTGTTGTGGGCACCCCGCTGATCACACGTGAGCACGCTGTACCACAAGCCTAAAGTTTCAACCCGTAAAACACAAAATGTCTCCATAGCCTATCAAACTAATGACAAAATTAAGGAAAGGATTCGACTTTGTGCATTTACTTTCTTGTTACAACTGATGCAGTGTAATTGGCTTTAGTTAACGTTGGCTGAAAGTTAAGCTCACAGAGTCACCTACGATGACATAGAATTTAAAACGCAGTAATATGCTTTAAATTATGCGTAAGAAGATAACGTCAATGAATCCTAAAAAGTGGAGAACCTTAATTTAAGATACTTAGAAGGACAGCAGCTCATATTTCACACGTCATAACTCAGATGTGGGGTGCCTGTGACTCAAGTTTCTGTGCTACTGAAATCAAGTGAATCTAGTTATTGGGTATCTTTTAAAATCTGTACTTACTAAAATTGTAGGCTCTTTTTTGTTTGTTGCTTTCCAAATAAAGGAAGATTCCGATTTCAATCCAAAGTATTTTAAAAGGGATATTGGCTTCATGGAGAAAGTGATTAAAGTCATATTCATTCTTCTGAAAAGTAGCACACATGTGACATTAATGCTGCTCTCACCACAGGCGGCCCAAGCTCACGTCTCGATTAATTCATGAATGCGTCACGCGTTGTGTGACTCGGTGTCAAGTTACGAGAGGAACCGTTGAAAATTTGAGCACGTTACAAGGAATAGTATGGGGAACGAAATATGGTCGATTGTGTAATAGTGAAAAACAAAAGTAGTGAATAGTGAAAAACAAAAGTACTCACTGAGGACTTCGACGAGGGTACTTATATTAGACGACAGATTTCAACCTTCACTGGCAAAATCCATCTGCGAAGTTGGTGGGGGGCGATGAAGCTTAGCGCAGTTTTGTAATTCTTAGTGACTTAAAATCTCTTGGACAAGGGGGCGGAGAGCACGAGTCAGAAACTCTGAAAAAACTTGGTAGTGAAAATATCTGATTAAGACCTGTCACTTGTGTCTGTCAAACATTTCGCGGGTACAGGCTGAGAAAGAAGAATGGACAGAGATGGTCATGGAAAGAATCGCACGACGTAAACGAACGAAGCGGCATTTTTGATGGAAATATTTGTCATGGCGTTGTGTTAAAATCGGCACTCCGGTTGATACAAAAAGAGAACAGAATACAATTATCTTTTTTACAACTCACTTTATTATTGACTCTAAAAATATCTCGGGCAACCTGGGATTATAATAACAAAAATGATTAATATGGTGTAGTCACTGAAAGAAACAGGCATCAAAACATGTATTTATCACGAAAACTCCTCTTTGGCACATCTGCCTTAAAATGAAGCAGTCCTCAACTGAAGAAAAACGTTGGTATGATCTATCTATTTCATACTTCGTATTCCAAAAAGGAAACATCTATATTTGGGAAACTGGCTAGCACTGTAATTCTCAAATCTAGTCCTCAATTAGAGGTCCTAATTATTCGTACGTTCGTAACCTTTCAAAATCTGAAACCCTAAGTTTACATTTTAACGTTTAGTTTCGTTTAGCTCGTCTGCTTTTGTGGACGAGAGTTTAAGTTTTGCTTTAAAGCTTTAGACACTTACGTAACGTTCAACTTTGTTATTGATTTAAAATTTATGCATCACCCAATACTGCTAATCTACTTAATGTGAGAATCTAAAACATGGAAGACGGTTTTGTTCTCCCCCAACTTGTTTAACTCTCCATATCACACTTACAGTGAATATATAGTTAAAGGCGTCTCTAAATATGACAAGAGTTAAATTCCTAGTTCATCAGTCAAGCAATGTCAGCATCGTGTGAGCCAGTCTGCACCAACCTGGGAATCCATCTTTTTCTCCAATAGCACTGATCCTACGCATCATCGATGGAGACACGTGATGCAGAGCGCGAGCAATGCTCATGGCTCTGTGGGACCACTCATGGGACAGAACATCAAAGTAACATGAGGTGTGAACATCGTTGACCAGAATAGTGCCGCTCAGGGTTACTGGGGCGTATGCACCTTTCTCGTAGACAGTGCTGATGCTCTGAACTAAATCCTTCTCTGAACCATGGCTTCCCCTCACGTACACTGTGTCTCCGATCTTAACATCTCTGGCAGGGATGGCTGTTGCTTGGCCCATTAATTCCACAAACAGGAGATGGTCAGCAGTTATCGGGAGGATTTTTTTTTTTTTGGTGACAATTTTTAAAAATTCCTCCACAATTTCTGGCTGACGGTGGATGAAGGTGATAACTGTATCGGACTTGATGCCATTCTTTGTAATGGTCAGGACTTTGTCACCAACTTGCAAAGATTCTATTGGCCTTGCTCGGGAGTTTGAATCATAGATAATGGCTGAGCCAGGATAACATCCACCGAAAAAACTAAAAAAACCACCATTACTACTAGTACCACCATCACTACTAGAACCACCACTTCTAGTACCACCACCAATACCACTTTTTGCGAGCACCATCGCGGTTAATGGTCCTGACTCAAGCAAACCATCGGAAAATTGTGCGTGTTCTACATCTTCCGTCAGCCTTTTCTTTACGGCTTCCAACTCCACGTATTCCTTTTTTAGTCTAACGAAGCGTTTTTCCAAGTCACGTTTCTCTGTATCACTTTTGTCTTTGTCTTCAAGTAGCCTTTTGATTTCTTCCTCTTTTTGACAAATAGCCTCTTCCTGCTTCGTTATTCCACTCTCGTCCATGGCTTTTTTTATATGTTCTTCAAGCACTTCATTGGACACGCTGGTCAGGCGGTGTATTAAAGGCCCTCTTTGCTTCCTCACCTCGTCAATAATCTAAGAAAAACAAATAAACTTAAGAGAAAAAATCGAAGCACAAAGTTTAAGGGATGAAAGGGAGTTAATAGTTTTCTACATGGTACAAATTCCAAGAAACTTGAAAACGCATTTGCTTTAGTCAGCCATTTTGTTCGAGGAATAAACGAACAAATGACATCGAGGAAATCTGGCAACGCACTTTGAACATTTGATTGTCTGAAATTATACTTCATCAAACAATATTGCGTGTGCCATGTCGAAACGACCGCAACATTGATTATCTGCAATTACCGAAGGCAGTCAAATACCTCTCACAACAACTTCTTGATATTTTTTCAAGTTCCTTCCACTACTTACACGAGGGCGTACAGGTGTATGTGGTATCTCAATAGTGGAGCTTCAGGATTTAAATTTCGCTTTTGCGAAATTCCCACACATAGGAAAATATTGCAACCTATCAAGCCCCTATAATTCCGTTTTACGCTCTAGGCCAGATGAATTTTTTTGAGACTACAACACGCAAAAGAAATTGAAGGAGACAAAAAACCCTTAAAAATTTAGTTCCTGGAAAGGAAATGCATGATGAAGTGTCCAAAAACTCAGGCTGGGAGTTTTTATATTCCTCTTGACCATTTATACACTCTGCTGCTGACGAGGAAAATTTGTTTGTCAACCAGGATCCTCTTAAAATGGGAACTTTTCCCTCATTCTCGTGGACTTAACATTTGATTCAAGTAAGATATTGCAAGGAGATTTTAGAAGCCAGGCCCTCTTAGGAATTAAAAGGACAACAATAGCTAACCCTAAAACCAAATAAGTTTGAGAATAAAGGGGAAACTTAAAGTGATAAAAGTTAACCCTAAGAAGGGTTAGCCATCAAGAATCCGAGGTACAGAAAAGGCATTCAAAGTTCCCCCTTAAAAATATATCATTTTCCCCGCGTGAATATCTTTTTTATCTTATTCAATGTCAGACTCATGTGACAGGAGCAAACTGCTTTCTTTGAACGATCACTTTGCAAGAAATTTTACTCATTTGATGTGGCTTAGCCAAATACAGAGTTTTCCGACAATTCTTTTCCAGAAAACCTAACGGGCCATCCGAAAGCTCACCCTCGAGTTTCTCTAGGATTGAAGTCCCTTTTTAGAGACAAGTGAATTCTCACCTTTCGCCTATTCCTGAAAAACGTTACATCATTACTAAGTAACAAAAAGGTTAGTCACCTATGCAACTGCTGACCTACAACGACTAGCCCTACACATTTTGCCCTCAAAATGGACTTTTACCTGAAGTAGCTTGGAGACCTGCTTCTTACAATCATCAGGCTTTTCTCTGGGATCCAAAGTGTTGTCGAACAGCACTGTTCTTTCTCCTATTTCCTTCACAAACTGTAAGACCCAAGGTGGCAAGCTAGCGATGAAGGATTTCTTCTCATCTTCAATGCTCACATCTCTTTCCATTGCGTTGCGGGCAGCCTGGTCGCCATGTGTTAGAATTAAAATCATATAAGCTAAGGCTTCAGTCCCAAAAAAACTTTTAAATATTTTCAAAGCTTCGGCATCCTCACACCCAAATCTGCCACCGTAATTAAGGGTGATGATAATAGCATCAAGACCTTTAGGGGACATGACAAAAACCTTAGTGAGTTCTCGAAGAATAACCTTATGTGACCCACCGCGAGAAACAATCATTTCCGTCATACTTTTCATGGTAAAGACTGGGGCCGTATCCATGATTCCTGGGGTGTCTATCACGGTCACCACTCTTTCATCTTCTCTCTTGCTTGCATCGCACTCTTTCGTTTCAGACGAACCACTTGGGCTGGCTTTGAAATGTTTACGTCCAAGTATTGAATTTCCTGTGGCGCTTTTTCCGGTCCCAGTCTTTCCAAACAGAACAATCGTCAGAGGATCTCCTGAAGGCAGCTTTTAAAAAACATTTAACGATAAAAAGAACATTAGAAAAACAGAGATTAGCTGTGCCCAGATCTCTGACAAGCACGCACCGCTCCTTGACGGATAGATCCCTATTAGCATTGAATAGGGAGTAACAAGTCTACCAATAAGTAACTGAGTCTAGTAAATCGTAAACTGAAGCTTTTGGAGACATGGTGCACCAGATCTGCTGCCGCTAAGAAGTCTCATCTAATTTTCAAATGTGTTAAAAAGGATAAATATCTGTGCGCATAACCAGGTGGTCTGTTTAAGTTTGGAAAATCACTCTAATTGAATATTTGGGTTTTCCAAATAATATGATTGAATATTTCGAAATTTAATCGTGAAAATTATTTCAAATGGGTTTATAAAAGATTTAGATGACATATCAAACACTTCAAACGCTGCTATCTGATTCCTTGCTACCTCCCCTACCTCCCGCCACCTTTTACCGCCCCTAAGATTGCATGATCCACCCTCTCAAAACCACCCCTTGAATCGATTTTGTGTGACCATTATTGTAGCTTCTATAGTTTTGACGACGATTCTCACCTCGATCGTGGCTTTTGGTTCCTGTGAAAGAAAACAAATTGAATAAAGATATGTTGTAGCCTCACCACGACAATCTCTTATTCTACCAGTGAAGACAAAGTGCATCAAGAAAAATCGATACCCTTTGCATGATTGATCGGTTTAGCTAACCGTGCCCCACTGAACCACCCGTTAGAATTTCAAATAGACGTAAATATAGTTAAGAATACTACAGTTCCAAAACAGTGGAAATCAAAATTTTAGAGGTGACGAAAAAGCCTACGAGATAAATATTATTCTCAGGCTCATAGGCGATGCGAATCAAAGCTGGAAAAAAGAAAACTAAACGTCCTGACTTCAGTCATTTTCCTTTTTTTTCGTAAATGGAAAGTGTATCATTTATTTACTCCATGCGACATGGCCTGAAGCCTTCTCACTCCCTTTTAAAACCACCCTCTTTTTTTTCTCCGTGTAGTATCGTCCGACCGACCCAAACGACGACGTAGTTAAACCATTTTTAACTTTGAATAATTCTTTTAATCTGAAACGGAGAATAACAACAGTGTAGAGAAAAACAGGAACAAAAGCAGGAACATTTTTTTATAGTACACTATGGATTTTTTAATCCAAATACGTAAATTTAGCTTTTAACTTCATCCTCGTTGTTAATCCACTGAGATATTAATGATAATTTTAAACGTCATCCTCATCACCATGGTATGTCGCATAGGAGTTTCGCTGGTTGATCCTTTTTCCCACGTTGTCCTAATTTTACAATTACATCAACAAGCGTTTCCGCCTTATCCATTTTGGGTTCATTTCTTGTTGTTTCCAGGCTCCACAGTAATGATATTAGGGTACCAAGCCTCCTATTCAGAGACTTCTACTAATTTTTAAAATTTTTTTTTCCAATCCGACCGACTGACCCAATATCAGAAAACGCATTTAACGCTAAACGGAAAAAGAGGGGGGTGGCCTAAGGTCGTATAAGGTCGTACTTTTACCTCTGTGAATACAATCACCATCGTTATTTTCATCAGCGTTACCGCCGTCATTGTCATCATCATCGTCATCATCGCTATCTTCACCGTCGCCTAACGGTGTTATGTCGTCTTCGTCTTCTGAGACTTAATTGTCATCATTAGTGCTATTATTTATCATCTTGCTCACCTTTTTTTTTAGTATCTTTTTCCATTCACGGTTAAATTTCCCCTTTATATCGCGTCCTCCACGAACCTTCTTGTATGCCTCCCTACATTCTTTGATTTTTTTTGGCCCATTCACGCTGTTGATTGCTTTAATTGCTTCTTTAAACTTTTGTTGTAGCTCCATAACCTCGCTGCAAAATTCTTCAACGCCCTCATCTTCTTTGTCTTCGAGGTATACCTCAACTAGAGCTTGGGTGTTTTGAAGATCATCAAAACGGCTTTCCAGATCCTCTATATCGCTGGTCAAAACCTGCTGTTGTATGTACGCTTTCGCATTTGGAATAACGCTATTCACAGGCTGAAGCTCAAACTGCAAATAAGCAAAGAACTTTGTAACGACTCCGTGAGTACACCACTTCGTTTTCGATTTTTAAGAATCTCTTACAGTGCAATAGAATGCTTCATAAATGTATTCTACGAGACAATCTGATAGAATCTATATATTGCCAAAATTTTCAAGAAGTATCCAAAAAAATGGATCAACATCAGTATCTGAACAGCTATGCACCTACCCCTCCCCTAACCAACAACAGTCAACCGCCTGAGCTAGGGCTAATGCTGGGTTAGGGGAGGGGTAGGTGCGCAGTTGCTCAGACACTTACATTGATCCAAAAAGAATACCTCGTTAAAAAACTCTCCGACCCCATATTTAGAAAAAAATATAAAATTTTAAGGGCAACTGACGGGTAACAAGTCATTTTTTTGGAATACCATCTAAATGCCTTGGGTAACACATTGAAACAGATACAAGGTGCTTCGTATGCCTCTCTGTGCTTTTCTCGCTGGGAAAACTGTCCTAAATGCAGCTTTGCGAGTCATCCGCCGTAAACGTCTCGATTTTGATCACGTGACCTTACACGTCATACGTGTGTACAATAAGTAAAGTAAATATGGCAAATAATAATAATACGCCTTTAGCCCGAACATGGGTATATCCACAGTTTTCCTCTGTTCAGCTCTACGTCGAGCCTTTTTTTTTTCATAATCCTGGACCCTCTTAGAGTTGTATGCGTAACAGACTACCCTTATGAGTCTCTCCCATTCGGCTCTGTTGCTCACGGTTGAAAGCCACTGATCTAAGACATGATCGCACTTCAAAGCACTTTTGCAGGTGTCCTTGAACCGAAGCTTGGGTCGGCCTGGAGATGGTGTCGTTCGTCGGTTTCCCCGGATGCGGTAGCAGCAGTATACGGACTTCGTCCACTTGTCGCTACCGCCGTATCGAGTGGCGCATCGGTTCCCCCGTATGCGGTAGTCATATCTTCACTCCTTGTCTATACTTCTATTAAAACTGTGGGGCTGCACCTATGATGTCGACACTGCTTGGCGCATGGGCAGCGTCCCTTGGCGAGGAACTCTGTTGATCGACAACACAGCAAAGCTGAGATGGTCGCAGAGAAGCTCGTTGCATGCTGTCAGAACTGAAGCCGAATTAACTGTCAGGACTACCGTTGCCGGAGCTGGAACCGAGTTGACTATCAGGACCGCCTTGCATGATGGCTGATGGCTCACAAGGAGCTCATGCGCCGTTTAGCAGGTGTTGTTTTTAGTCCTGCACCAAAAAAAAAGCTGGTGTGGGGAGCTAGCTTAGACGCCGACCACCCGTTCATGCGGCAGGTTGTACTGGGTTACATGGTACCAGTAGCAGACACAATGTCTGACCTGACCCATATAGCAAATGGTACTTCGAGTAAAAGCAGTTTTATTTGGGGGTCTGATTATTTTGATTTTGAGGCCTCGATGGAAGGTGAACATGATAAAAGAGATTATGCATCTGTTGGTGAAATCAGGCCCTGGAAATTTAAACCGCCAGGACGAACGTAACTTAAAATAGAGCGCAAGAGTCAGAAGAGGATCAAGAGCCCGTGCGCCACGGCCGCCTCAATCAAGAAAGCGAGAATGATGAGTGCATTTACATTCCGCCTACGCCGCTTTCTTGATTGAGGCGGCCGCGGCACACGGGCTTACGAAAGAAGCGTAAGGAGAAACACACGACTACGTCTCGTGTTTCTCCCTACTTCTTGAGTGCTCTAGCCGCTTCCTAAGTGCTTTAGAATAGAACAGAGCACAGTCAAGGCTTCTCTTTTTTTTTAAAATAAAGAATCTGTTAAATTTCCCAAGCAAGCTCACAAGCATTACTTTAAATTTTCAAAACAAACCTTATTTCTAAAGCGAACAACAGTGTCGTCAGCATGCTCTATACTCTCATAAAGCACGCTACAATAAGACAATCAGAATCCCTGTTAGAATGGTTCAAATAGTCTGATTGGCTGTACAAGACTAAAGCTGTCAAAAATGTCAAACCATCAAAGTTCTCATTCTGCAAAAGTTTAAAAACTTGAATATTTCGAATTTAACACTTCTGCCTGAAGTTTTTTAGGCTCCAATACAGAATCTGAAAGTGAAATGTTCTGTGAAACTCGACAGAATTGTGGCTCATAAAAACACGCAAGTTTTTCCCAAGACAAGTAGAAAGCAAACAGTTCAAGGCGAGTATTTTATGAATGAACGACAGCCGAATTCATCGGAACATAAAGATCGATCGGGATGACAGCCGTGACACTCGGTTGCAGTGACTGATGTGGCCCTCCACTCAACGCATCGGAAAGGATATCAGAGCAAGCTCTTATTTTTTCACTCGAAGGGTGCCGTAGTAGTTCCTGAGGCTTGCTTCACTGCGATGACCGAAGATCGCCATGATGAGCAAACCGCGATGGACCTCAGCGTGATCGCAGTCGCTCTGACACCGGCATGATTAGTATGAATTTTAACGGTTATACCAGTTTGGTTATATTTTCCATCATTCCTGTTTTTTTCTGTTTTGTTTTTGATCACGAAACTTTACTTACTATAAGAAGGTTAGCTGTGTTTGATTTTTGTTACTCTACATAAGCTTGCAATCTAACTAAGCGTGAAAACCTCTAAAACTCGGACTGTCCATTTCGTTTTCTCCTTGAGGATTTTCGTCTCTGCTCATGTTATAATAGGTAAATTACGGCGCCTGGCCTTTTTACAAACATTTGTTTGTTTCTTCTATTGCTACTTACCGGCTCGCTTGTTCCGAAATTTCACTTTCAATTAACGAAAAAAAGCCAGAGAGAAGTTCCGGAAAAGGTCAAATATAGTACAATGTGGCAGATGGCGTGATAGCTTTAGCTCAGCTCTATGCTCTATACTCTCATAGAGCACGCTCTTTCAACCAATGACAGCACGCGTTGTATCCGAACTTTATTATATATTTTTTTTTCCTTTTTTTTTTTTGTTTTTGTTTTTGATTTTTTTAAGTTCAGATCACAATTTAAGAAACATTACGTGATTGTTACTTCCGTAGCACGAGTTTGTAGCGGACTCGGTTCCCTTTTTGTACCAAAGCACTGCGTTTTAAACGGTGGGTGTAAGGTAGTCCCATGACTAGCCGTGTTTTAATGGTTTCCTCTCTCAGGCTGTCACCTTATTTTATTAGCGATAAACAAGCGCGAATAATTTACTGTTCACTCAGCTGACATTGGTACATTTTTGAAACGAGTAACCTTTCGGACAAGAATTTTCTCGCAAATGAGAAACAACGCTTGATTGTGGCGTTATTTTCACTTCCATTGGAAGTTAATTAAACTTAGGCACGCGAATGTACTATATATGCTGCTCAGTGTTGGTTGTAATCATTCCTGGAGAACTCTCAGCTGGAGACGAGACGCTTCAAAAGAAATTAAAAAAAAGTTACAACAGTAGGAAGTCTTCCTTTGCGCTGCTCACTAGTCTCCGTTAAAAAAAAAGGATAAATCTTGTACATTCCTGGAACGTGGAAGAAGAGTTCCGTTCACGAAACCAAATGACGACCTCCCAAAATACGCGACAACACTTTGCACGCTCACTGATGGGCCTGAGGTCACAGTGATGTACACCGGACAAAATCAAAAGTCAAATACTCTTCGGCTTGGACTCGATAATGGTTAAGAGGAAAAATTATAGGAACATGTATTTTTTTTACAGCTGTTTGGAATGGCGAGCAAATTACCTGTGGCTCTGATACAGACATGCGATCCGTCGCGTTTCGATTATTCAGCCTTAGTTATTTTATTTATCACTTCGTATTTCATAGTCTCTAAATGGTGGCCTATTACAGAATGGAACAAATCTTATCTTTTTTCCGCTCGTAAATTTAGGCAGCAGCTGAACAACTGGGACGAAGTTGTTACTTTCAGGTCTTGACATGACGCTTTTCACTGCCTTACACACGTGTGACGTATCACATCACGTGCCTAAATCGGACCATTTTCAAAATGGCCGTCGATTAAGCGTAAAAAAATTTCGAAAATTTGATTTTGTCCAGTATATCATTAATCTGCTCATTTAGGATTCTTTAACCTAAGAGGAATGTATTAGGACAAAAAAATGAGAAAAATTTGGCGTCAGTCACCCTTTAACATGGAAAAAAATGATAACAATTGATCAGTCCGGACCATAGACAGTTTTGTCCTTACACTGACTTCCTGCTGAAACAAGGGGTCAGGGTTCAATTTTTAAAAGCTTAGGCATTTTTTGCCTCTGATATCAATGGCCCTCGGCACTTGACAAAGCACACAAAGAGCTTCGCGTCAGTAGCAGTTTAAATGGTGTCGGTTGAAATGTCTGGGAAAAATCACAATTTAGAGTCGAGCTGCGATGACTTATTTGGGAGGGTTGAGGACACACATGCTATCAGTATCATGTAAATTTGAGGCCTGTACGATTTTTTTTGGGAAAAACTACGGTGTCTTTTAGACATCTCACCGGAAACAGATAGAATTTGAGAAAAATACGTGTACGAGCAACACATAGCGGGACGCGAGGATAAAGATGACATGTCTGTCGTCAATTAGATTTACAGTATCGTAATACAGAAATAAATAAGTCCAATCCTCCCTAGGTCACCTCAGTTTTTTTGGTTTAGTCTAGACCAATCATACCAACGGAAATAGTATAGACAAAACTGTCTATGGCCCGGACTGTCGATTGAAATTATTTTATAATAAAGCAGGTAATTTAGTGTAAACAACTGAGTTAAAAATGCAAATTAGCCACCGTAAAGGGTAAAAAAGCTGACGTTTCGAGCGTTAGCCCTTCGTCAGAGCGATTGGAGGAATTGTTGGTTGTGTGTGAGTTTATATGCAGAAAGTGGAGCTATGCCATTGGTGGGAATATGGTGACGAGGAATAAATTAGTTGAATGAAAAGCGCTCGTTGATTCCGTGGGGATTAAGGGTGCCGATTTGGAAGATAAATTTTTGTTCTAGTGTTTTACGGCTTTCCGAACTTCCTAGATGTAAGGAGAGGCCGCAGACTGCCATATGCTGTTTAGAATGATAAGGAAGATTAAAGAGTCTAGTGACTGGTCTGGATGCGTCCTTGACATTTCTTTCCACGTCGCGAAGGTTTTCTCGGAATCGGTCACCTAGTCGTCTTCCTGTTTCGCCGATGTAAAACTTATTGCAATAAGTGCAAGTTATGCAGTAAATAACATTGGTGGAGGTACACGTAAAGTGATCAGTGATCTTAATGGATCTCTTCGGTCGCGATATTTTCTCTACGTTGTGAATGAAAGAACAAGTTTTGCATCGTGAGCGAGCGCATTTGAAAGTTCCAGATTGGTCATTGGTTTGAAAGAACTCCTGACTTAAACGTTGCCTACGTTTTTGTCACGTTTGAATGAAATAAGTGGGGGTTGCGAAAAGATAGTGCCAGGCTCTGAATCGTTTTGGAGTAATTTAAAATTTTTAAGAATGATAGATTGAACTGCGTGGTTGTGAGGGTGAAATGTAAATGGAATGAGGTCGGTGTTTTCCTTCTCAGCCGTTTGTAGTGCTGTCTGTCGATCAATTTGTTGGGCACGGTGGTGACCCGCTTGAATGACAGAAACAGGATAGCCACGTTTATCGAAAAACTGGCACATTGCCTCTGATTTTTCGGAAAAATCAGAGTTGTCAGTACATAAACGACGAAGTCTGAGAAACTGTGAAAAAGGTACGGAGTTCTTGACGTGTGATGGATGTGAAGGTGAATACAATAAGTAACTATGTTAATCTTTAGGTTTGTAGAACACACTAGTGCATAAACCGTTGCCTTCAATTGAAATTTTGATGTCTAGAAAAGCCAAAGAAGTGTCGGAAATTTCCCAGGTACATTTAAGAGCCGGATGAAAGGAATTAACGGCAGTTATAAATTGAGTGAGCTCCTCTCTGGTTGAGGAGGTAGCGCCGATGCAATCGTCAATGTAACGGCCGTAGAGTTCAGGTTTTGGGCCGTGGTATTGAATAAAAAAATTGATGTTCGATAAAACCTACAAAAAGATTGGCGTAGCTGGGTCCCATTTTAGTACCCTTGGCCACGTCATTAGTTTGTTTGTAGTAGTTACCACCGAATGAAAAGCAATTGAGTGTGAGTACTAATTCGGCCAGTTTCGGAAACTTTCTTTAGAAACTTAACCCCTTTATATATCGTAATAAAGTTCGGATATAACGCGCCCTCAAATTTGTAGATATGTCCGACTAGCTTTTCTCCGTTGCATGACCTGTAACACGAACATGAAAACGAGCTCTAGGCTCCAATTGATGCAAAGTAACCTGTGGGTAAAAACTCAAATTACAAGGAGATAAACGGTCGGAAAAAACGAGTTGGACAGTAGTAACAGAAGAACTAAAAAATGGTTAGACATGGCTTGAAGCTACTCTGGTTTAACGATTTAATGAATATAACCGGTGTCAGGTAGTCAATAATAAAGGGGTAAGTTTCTAGAGAAACTGTGGTGTTGCGTCGGTGGGAGAGTGAAGCAGGTAATTTAGTGTTAACAACTGAGTTGAAAACGTAAATTAGCCACCGTAAAAGGGTAAAAAAAAAAAAAAAAAACCCACACACAACCCACAATTCCTCCAATCGCTCTGACGAAGGGCTAACGCTCGAAACGTCAGCTTTTTTACCCTTTACGGTGGCTAATTTACGTTTTCAACTTAGTTGTTAACACTAAATTATCTGTCAGGAAGTCGGCCGCCATCATCACGATTTAAAGAAGCGTGGACAGAGTTGATGTGCCAGGCTTCCAAACAAAGGCGCTGGTTGTAACGTCGATTAGTGGTAACAATTTTTGACTTATCCTACCCAATTGCATGGTTGGTTAGGCATGTGTGCTCTGACAAAGGTGAATTTCCTTTTTCGCAAAAGAAGACCGCTTTTTGATGCTCTTTCAAACGTGTACTAAACTGTCGCTTGATCTGTCCGATATACTCGTGATCACATTCATTGCACGGAATATGACCAATAGCGTCGATTCGTTGTTCTTTAGTGACAGGATCCTTAGGTTTGGCAAAAGTATCAGTACCTTAAAGTCTAAAAAAAGTTTTTGAGTAACTTTAACGTTATAGCAATTCAAACTTTTCTTTATGGGTTCCGTAAAACCCTGAATGGGTTTAAGGGTGTTACTAGTTGTAACTGGTTTAGGAGTGTTGAAACGTTGGGTCTCTGAATTGTAACTTCTCGGTTACACTTATTAAATTTCAATGAATTATAACTACTCGGTTGTAATCTTCAATCTTCTCGGTCAATAAATCTTTAAACCAGAGTAGCATCAAACCATGTCTGAGTGTCCACCTGATCGCCATGTGGACTTAAATATAAACAAAGGTTAGTAAACATGAAATCATAAGGTGAGTAGAGACAAAAATCATCTGGGAGAAAACGAAATAGACTGTCCGAGTTTTGAAGGTTTTCACTCAGTTACTCGGTTGCATTGTGATAAGCTTCAGTACGTATGGTAATTAAACTACGTCTCGTGTGTTTCCCCCCGGACAATTGTTTTGCTCTATAGCCATTTCCTACGGCTTTACAACAGAGCACAGAGATGGCTTCTTTATTTGTTAATCAAATGCCAGATATTTTTGGTAAATTCTCTCTTTCTCTCCCTCTCTCTCTCTCTCTCTCTCTCTCTCTCTCTCTCTCTCTCTCTCTCTCTCTCTCTCTCTCTCTCTCTCTCTCTCTCTCTCTCTCTCTCTCTCTATATATATATATATATATATATATATATATTGAGATAGCGGGGAAAAAACAGAGACTATACTTTCGTGATTGCTCACTCATCAGGGGATTTATCAAATTTTATAAAATCCCATGATATAAATATATACATATATATATATATATATATATATATATATATATATATGTATATATATATATATATATATGTATATCTGGAAGTTGGACAAGTCAGTAAGAAAACTTTTCTGTGACGTGAGTTTCACGCTTACGCGATCATCAGACAGATTTTCTGACGATCTACAGTCAAGATTTTAAGAGGAAACTCAGAGTTACAGGGAATCATGCGTGTTTATTTTAGTCATTTTGAACTGTATTTCGCTCTATACTCGTGTGTATTGGGCACTTTCCAACAGCATTTGCTACAATTTCCCACAATTATATATAAATAGATATATATATATTTATATAATAAGTTCAGTTATGCACGCATGATTGACTCAGTTATGCATGCATGATTGGTTCTCACTTATGATCTATTGGAGGACAGACGTATAGATGACGTCATCGTTAAAACTTTTTTCCTTATATTTTAATTCTTTATTACATAAAACAAATAGATTCCAAGTTGCCGTGCGTCTGTTCAGTAATAGATCACAGATGACGTCAAAATGTGATCTATTACTGAACAGACGCACGGCAACTTGGAATCTATTTGTTAAATATATGGGAATCGTACCTGCATAGGAATTCCTTTACCGTCATTAATATCCTTCAGTCGGGAAGGGAAATCCTCAATCAGTGACACAAGTCCATCCATTGTAGTTGGTAGTTGGTCTGGTAGGTCGGTGGCGTAATATCTGATGGAGATGTCGGATACATTGCTGCATTCTGTTGAAAGTTTGTGTAACGCAGCCTTAAGTCCTACATCAGCACCTCCGCTGACACCTAGTTTTCCTTCAGCTCTTCCTTTTATTTGGTTCCTATGTATATATATAATAAATACAAAAAAGCGTTGTTCAATTTCTGATCGATCATTTCCCATAAGGAAAATCAAACCTGCTACCGGAAGCTCAAAATTTTGAGGTTAAGAACTCGTGTCTATACGGGTAAAAACAGCCTCTGAAAGCAGGAGGATTTGTTACTATTTTCATCATAAAAAAGTTTTTACATAAAAATAGCTCGTTATGTGGGGTAAATATCAATGTTAGGCGTACCTTGATGACTCTGATGATGACTTGAATGTCAGGCTGGCAACCATTTCGAATCCATACGTAACACTCCTTACGTAGTGTGTACCAAGTGAATGAAGAAATTCACCGCTGCTAACGTCATCTCTAACTTTCAATGGGTCTTCGATTGTCTCAACAAGCTGAGGGATTGACATGATAAACATCGTTAATTTTGGCACATCTTCGAGTATTTGATGTCCAAAGCTCATGACAATACAATTGGCATCTTAAATTTAGCTGTGTAGTAATAATTTGAAACTGGGAAAGGCATTAACTTTGCCCTTTACATCCTAACATCACTATGCATATTTAGCACATCTTCGAGTATTTGATTAATTCTCAAGCCTAATAACAATGTTTGAACTAGTCTCAATATGCAACCCTTTGATGTTAGTCTCCACATCTCCTTTTCTCTCTGGCTTATACTCAAACGTTTGGTTTTCTTGACAAAAAGATGTATGATTATCTAGTCTTCATTCTCCCTGTCCATGAGGCTCGTCAGTGTTTAAATACACTCCTCTGTAATTGTGACTGTTCTCCTTTATTAAGTATATTAAGTAGGTATACCGCTACGAAAATTGTTTTTCGTATTAGAAATGAGGCCAGGGCCCCTTTTTCTGAGCAAAAACCAAAGACCCCGCGTTTATGTTGGCTAGTAACAGAGATTTAATCGACAATATCCCAACAGGACTAATGCAGTCGTGAGCCGTGAGCCAAGAGATTAGAAATCACTTAACCAGGGGTAAGGTTGGTTTGGTTATCAATATTTGTTCATTACAATTTTTAAAAGCTTAGGTTTTGCCGAAGATTTGCAAATGTCGGCATCGGGTTTTCAAGGAAAAAACATACATTACCGTGGTACATTTCATGACAGCTAGAAGGTTGGTCCTTCCTTCTTGGACTTTGTTCTCTTTAAGATATTGCCATGCCCCTTTCACATTCACCAGTTTGGCTTTGATTTGTAAGGACAGCTCACCAGATATGTCCAGTAAGTTGTTGACATCTTGGCTGCTTTTTACCACTTGGTACTTAAAGGAGAATTTGTTGATGTTCATCGATTTAGGTGGTTTATCATTGCTTGATGATATGTCTGCGCGTGCGCTCAGTGTTTCACTGTCAAATGTCCGTCCAAGGCACAAAGTAGGTGAAATGTGGGCTGGAATGTTCATCATCTCTGGGAGATAAATGATTAAGAGCAATTTAATCAAGTATTTTTTTTCTCGATTTCTACACTTCAGCTGGTATTTTTAGTCTTAATACAGAATATGACATTGAAATGTTCTGTAAATCAAGAAGTGTTTCTTAGAAACAATTTGCAAGTGTTATTTCTTAGAAATAACTTGTTTCTAAGAAATAACGCTTGCATTTTGAGCAGTGACTGCTCAAGGTGTATGTTTATGAATGAACGACAGCCGAATTTACAGGAACATGAAGATTACTCGGAATGACAACGCCGTCAAACTCGCAAATTGCGAACTCGCTGTTGCAAATTTTTACACGAAACTGTAAAGTAAATAATCATTTAAACTACGGTGTTATACACGGATTTCCAGCCCTAAGGAAAGCTGTAATAACACACGTGAAAAAATACGATATTTTATCACGTGTGTTTATTATCGCTGCTGACGTGTCACTCGCCTTTCGCGACACTCGGTCAGGTTGATGAATGACTCGAACAAAGATTTCTGCTTCCATGGTTGTTTGTCGAAATTCTCTTGGACGGATTATGGTTGCTCAAACATTGGATAATTCGTATTGCATACAAACACTGAAGTTCAAACTTTCCTAAAGGTGGTATGGATGAAAACCAAAATACGGTAATCGCATTTCTCGCAGCTGAGAAGAAAAATGGACAACTGGAAGATTTACCACAGGCTGATTTTGGTCGTGTACCTGAAAGATTTCTTCTGTCGGTAAGGACAAAAGCAATAGCTGAGCTAGGAGATTGAGAGATGGTTCCTGCCCCTTTTTTGTATGTTTAACAAGGGGCTATGCAAAAAAGAAAGAGTGTTTCGTTTCCAGCGTGATAATGTAAGGCATGGCTGTCACAGGGCAGGAAAATTCAGGAGAAAATGAACTACTTCAAGGCCTGGGATAAGTCAGGGAATTTTACTTTGAGTCAGGGAAAATTTACTTTGAAAGAAGTCGGGGAAAGTGAAGTTGTTCAACTTATCTTGGCCATCTTCCTTGTGAGGGATGGAGACACTTTCCTTTTTAATGTTGATCAAGTACATTGTTTAGGACAACTTACAGACTGGATTGTATTGGTTCACTCGATTTCTTAAATTTTTTGGAGAAATAACCGGCCAGCAGTCGTTTAGTTATTTGAGAACCGTGACCGGCAGTCGACCTCACGCAACTTCAAGGAATTTTGAGCAAGCGTAAACCGAGCGTTACACGAGATCTACAAATCTCCTCGAGATCGCTTAGCAGTTCCTCGTCAACCGTTAATATTTTGAGTTGTACAGGTTCTCTCTATTTCTGAAATATTTTGAGAAAAATTTGCGACTGTAGGTCTTTTAGTTATGTAAGAACCATGACTGGAAGTCGACCACATGCACTGAGAACGTAAACTGAGGGTTACAAATGAGATTCATGAATCTCCTCGAGGTCGCTCCGTAGTTCCTCATCGACATGATTATAATAGAGTGGATTGTATAGGTTCTCTCGTTTTGTCAAATTTTTCTGAAAAAATTTTCGACTGCTGGTCATTTATTAGTTGAAAACATTGACCGGCTGCTGGTCATGTAACCAGAGCGTAAAATTAACGAGAAACAAAACAAATTAACAGTTTTCGACAACATATAGCTTCATTCTAACCTCAACTTTATTACTTCATAATAGTTTTTTTAGTTCATTTGTGCCCATTTCATGTACTTTTTTCGATCTATAAAGATCACAAGTTTGTTTTTCCAGCCCGAGGTTGTTTATAATCATGATTACAAACTTCACTTCGTTTACTGTCGATTTCTATGTAACTGTAGTCTTTTGAATGCTGATTTATCTGTGAATATAAAAAATTCCGGTAAGAAAAGAAGCGATCTCACCCGCAAGATGTCGTCTGCAGGACGCATTTGAGCAGCCATTTTGAATTCTTGTTTTACCATTTCAAACCACGTGACCACGTAGCTGAAAAGGCCGATTCTTATTCTTACAACAAAGATTCTGCCTCTTCTCTTATGAATTCTGAAATTGCGATTCTTTTAATGAGATTTGCAATTGAATATTCTTTCTAGTAGAACCCTCTACTTCATTGCCTTCTGTCAAGAATTCTCGTTCTTGAGAAAAAGAAATCTTGTTTTTGTGGCCAGTGTTCCTGAAATAGAGATTCTTCTCAATATATTAAAGTGTAATGCATTCTTACGAGAAGAATTCTCTTCTATTTAATCTTGTTGCAAGAACCTTGATTCTCCTTGAATCGCGATCAAATTATTCTTGAAACGAGAATTTTGGTTCTCAATGAGATAAAATGCGATTTGTGGAAATATATATTTGATGTAAGTTATCCAATGGTTGCGATTAGTCCTTCCTTTATCAACTGTTCCATCGAGGAACTGCACTTGATAGCCTAACACTCCTCTTTAAAACTTTTCATCCATATTTATCCCCTGCAGGCGAACTGTTGTGATGTAACGCCGTCATTAATTTTCTAGACGCGGAGTAAAAGGCCCGTGAAAGTACGTCGTTTCGTTTCGTTGGTTTTCAGGCTAGAGCCGTGTTGCTTTCATTTAAGAGTTTTAATAACGGACTTAGTTATGTCAAAAATTGTAAATTTATTTCTTCTTTATTTAGTCTTCTGTCGTTTTTCTTCTTGTTGTTATATTAGAGTGAATTCGTATAACCCGTTCGTTATATGCTAATGAAAAGAACACTGAAGAGCAACTGTCAGCATGCATCAGACAAACAGCGGCAAGTCACCCAAAATTTGCTTTCACTTCTACTTTCATATGTTGTAGCCTAATATGTCCTTATAATTGTGGTGTAGTTTTTTGTGAAAATATATTTTAGTTTTCGAGAAATGATATTTTTCGTTCGACCGCTCAAATATGCAAATTTTCACCGTGAATATTACCCGAGTTGTGTGACCTCATGTAACGAATATACTTGACCTTCGGTATTTCTGTCAACACAATCCTTTGTTTTATCATCTAAACTTAACCCCCTGTCATTATTGAAGCTGACAAAGTAATATTTGATTTTTGGTGAATATTTTTGTCCGACATACTTTTCTTATGTCGAAAAGTAGCATTAAAACAAAGACAGTTTTAACAATGACTGATATGACAGAATCTATTGAGCTTCAAGCTTTAAAAGACAAAAGGATGGTTATAAAGTTACTGTAAAATTTCCTCGTGTATTTGTGTTGTTCTATCTTAAGACGAACTCAAAGTCCGGCAAAATTTACTTGATAGCGACTATGAAATGTACATGGTGCGCCTACTTGTCGCCACCGTTAACTGGCATAAATCACTACAACTTGCAAAAAAATCTAACATAACACTCTTACCTTGTTTATTTATGATTTTCTCAGCTGTTTCGATGATCACGTTATGCCTTACCACATTCTAGCCAGATTTGAGTTCCAGTTCATATATCTTCTCCATCTTATTATATCGGTTGCATGACAAGCGTGACACGTATAAATTCAAAGATGAGTCAACCTCCGAAATACCAAGAGACGGGATTTTTTCCTCTTTGCATGATATCTGGAAAAATCTTTCAGGAATTACTGCATTAAGAAAACTAAAATATCCCAATCCATCGATAATTCCTTTGCCGGCGGAAGTCAAAGAACAGTTACAAAAGTCAATTTGATTGCCAAGCTACATACTGATTTGTTGATTTGGCTTTGTTGTATAAGTGTTTCATCTTACATGCTAACATGGCGATTTGCAGTTCATTTAAATCGTTGGCTGGTGGAGCTTATGGATTTAGTTATCGAGAAGACCGAAGTTGTATACCTCAAGTCGTTCTCTTGCACAGTTGTAAAAAAAAAACATTTTAAGTCACTTGCGGAGTTGCAAGTTTTCAGATTAAGAAAATGAAGTTGATCTTATTTTATCGCGTGCCGGCATCTTCGAGACGCTAACAGATATCGATGATTTTACAATGTGCTCCACTCATAGATGTTGGGTGGAGTCGAGGTTCCAATGGTAGATGTGGAGTGCCTAAAGAGGTGTCCGGCCATTGTAAAGGTAAGGTTAAGTCGATTCCAAAAGCCGATAGGGGAATTGGCAAGCGTGTATCACAGATGGTGCTCAATATGTCTGGAAAATTCATACAGCCTGGCTCCGGTAAGTAGGCTACTAACCACCGTGAGCAAAATTACGCCTTCCATCATACTTTTAAGTCTCGATTGGGAATTGGTCAATAGCTAGCTATACTAGTGTCTAGTGTCTAGTGTCTGAGCACTTTGTCTGGGCACTTTGCATAACTTGCACTGATTGCAATAAGTTATACATCGGCGAAACAGGAAGACGACTGGGTGACCGATTCCGAGAACACCTTCGCGATGTGGAAAGAAATGACAAGGACGCATCCAAACCAGTCGCTAGACACTTTAATCTTCCTAATCATTCTAAACAGCATATGGCAGTTTGCGGCCTTTCCTTACATCTAGGCAGTTCGGAAAGCCGTAAAACACTAGAACAAAAATTTATATTCCAAATCGGCACCCTTAATCCCCACGGAATCAACGAGCGCTTTTCATTCAACTAATTTATTCCTGTTTTCTCGTCACCATATTCCCACCAATGGCGTAGCTCCACTTTCTGCATATAAATCCACACACAACCCACAATTCCTCTACTCGCTCTGACGAAGGGCTAACGTTCGAAACGTCAGCTTTTTTACCCTTTACGGTGGCTAATTTACGTTTTCAACCCAGTTGTTAACACTAAATTACCTGCTATATTCTCCCACCGACGCAGCACCACAGTTTCTTTAGAAACTTACCCCTTTATTCATTCGGAAATGACTCGTTTCGAAAAAAATTTTACTCTGGTATCATGTGGCAACCGCTGTAATTTCGTTCTTGAACAAAACTCATTCTGATATGATGTAAAAGGCCCCTAAAAGTTTTTATTCCCAGAGCTTCACGCTTTGCTCCATCCCCAGAAATCAAGGACATTTCGAGCCCGCTAACAATTATCAGCGGATACACTCCGGAACA